TGACTTGAGCATCTGGTGGACGGCGGTGAAGCCCATGCCGAGGGCTCGGAACCACCCCATGCCGAGAAGGCTGGGAAGCTGCTTCGTGACGATGGTCAGTGGCAGGTCTCTTTCGTAGTCTCCGTAGGTGACTCGGAACGTGCCCACGCCCTCGAGGGGGACTCGGTTCCCCTGGTAGTCTAGGATGCGCAGTCGCTGTTTGGAGAGCTGGTCCTTCCGGAACGACGGCAGGAGGGTCTTTAGGGTCGCCCATGACATTATGGAGAGAGCTGATCCGGTGTCCATCTCCATCGAGCATGGCTTGCCGTTGATTTCGACCACCGTGCTGACTTTGTCCTCGATTTCCACGTTGGCCTGGTCTATGTGAATGCTGCGGCCATCTCGAGGTTCAAATTCGCGCCGTTTTTTCGCGCCGCCTTCTCTCGTTGGTTGTTTCTGGCGCGTTGATTCTGGTTGGCTGCGGCGCTCACGTGGTTGGTGTTTTCTGGGCAGAATGGCTCTACAGACTCGCGCCAAGTGCCCTTTTTTCTCGCAACGCCTGCAGCTAGCCTCCCTGTATTTGCAGGACAGTCTATCATGGTGCCCTCCACAGCTGGGACAGCTTCACCGCGGGCTGCCTGTGTCCTTTCTCTGGTGCTCCGTTCGGAAAACGTCTTCATCCGACTCGGACTCCGAGCTGGATCTGGCGTCTTCTCTGTGCACCGGGGCAGACTTGGGGTTGTCTTTGCTGGTCAGCGGACGCTGCAGCGTTTCTGCGGCTTTTGTGGAGGCTTCATGAGCCCTGGCCTCGTCTAGGGCTCCAGCAAGCGTCAAATCAGGCTTGGCGAGCAGGCGCCGTTGCAGCCTAATGTCCCGGACACCACAGATGAGTTGCTCAAGCAACGCATCGTCCAAGTCTCTATAGTCGCAATGGGTTGCGGCTTTTCTCAGGCTGGCCATGTATGCGCTGACCGGTTCTCCCTCTTGCTGAATGCGCTGTCTGAGTTGGTATCGTTGCACGAACTTGGAGGGCACGGGAGCATAGTGAGCCCGGAGCGTGGCCATCAGGGTGTCCCAGGAAATGGTCTGGACCAGCGTTAGCTCGCACAGTGACTCTGCCATCTCGAACACGTCCGGTCCACAGTGGCTTAGGAAGAGGGCCCTCTTCCGATTAGCGGAGAGCCCTTGCATGTCGCTGGCTTCGAGCGAGCATTCGAACCTCGTCAGGTACGAGACCCATTTTTCGCGGGTCGGATCAAAAGGCTTGGGCGGAACGTAGGCAGACATGTTCGGTATGCCTCCTGTAGTTCGCCTCGTCGCCTAGCTGAAGCTCGTGGTCTCACTGGTTCGCTTCTTGTGACCTCAATCCCACCTTCGTCGCCAATGAAGTGGTTTGGGAATAACGAGAGGCACAACCAAGCAAGTGACAACAGCTCTTTAATTTACAGTGAGATTTCAGCAAAAACTCAGAGGCTGCAGCCCTCCTTATATACAATCCTGGAGGGACTGTCAGCCAATCAGAACATAGGCAGGTTTGAAACTCCCGCTTAAAAGTATCAATACATAACAGTAGGCATGGCCTGCTCAGCGTGACTTGTGTGGGGGCATCTGTGGTGGCCCGAGCACTCTGCCAGTGAAAACGAGCTCCTAAGCTCTGTTTTTGACTGCAATGGCCTTCTACTCTCTCAGTGAAAATGGAGCTCAGGTGGGCTGTGGGCGGCCTTCCCAAGCTCTGTTTTTGCTGGCAGAGGCACCATGGGCCATCCCTTTGCTGTTTCCAGGGTGGCCCCACGGGCCAGATCTAAGCATCCTGAGGGCCGGATCCAGCCCTTGGGCTTTGAGTTTGATACCCCTGCCCTAGAGATTCCAAACAATGATTTTCTAGTTATTCGAAGTTTCCAGTATAAGCACATTTAAGTATTGGTGGACCTAGAAAGTGAATTTATTCAGCTCCTAGGAATCTGCTATTCATAAACCTGCTGATCGGAACAGTAGAAAGTAAAGCACACAGGGCTACAAAATGTTATTTGATGAGTCATGCTAAATCACTTTTCTTTGCCTTTCTCTCTTGATGTCCACAGATCACAATCTCAGTCAGCATTGGGAATGCTGCAAATGATATCAATCTTACTCTAATGAAGCATAACAGCAGTGGTTGGAAAAATCTGTTTCATGTCATTTTTTTAAAAAAAAATTGATTTATATGCCGCCCTTCTCCGGAGGCTCAGGGCGGCTTACAATGCGTTAAGCAATAGCCTTCATACTTTTGTATATTTATACAAAGTCAACTTATTGCCCCCACAAACTGGGTCCTCAATTTACCTACCTTAGAAAGGATGGAAGGCTGAGTCAACCTTGAGCCTTGGAGAGATTCGAACCAGCAGTAATTGCAGGCAGCTGTGTTAATAACAGGGTGCTTAGACCACTGTGCTATCAAGGCTCCTATATTTGACTACTATTCAATATTTAATATTAGTGATCGTTGGTATATCATTTCTCTACCCAAAGGGACTCAGACAGGGATGTCCATGTGTCATCTGCTGCCTGTGCAAACTAGTTTAGGAAATCCAATGGGGTGAGGATGAGATGATATAATGTTTAGAAGATAGTTCTAAACATTAAAGCAGGAGCAAAAGTAGTTACCATATGGCTATCAGTTTTGGTAGTATTCCCATGAAGTATAGATGCAAACAAACCTTTAAGGAGTCTGCACAATCAATAGCTACTTTTACACAGTTGCAGATAGTGAATGCACTTACCTTATTGTTGTTGAAATCAAAAGTTAAACAGGGTTGTATCTGGTTAGTACTTGAATGGAAAATTCAATGATGCTAATTATACTTGTGTTTGTGTGTGCGTGCCTCAGAGTCAACCTCAACTGCTGGCAACTGCTGGAACAAATTCATGCACTTTTCTTGGTAAATTTTTTTTGGAACTCTTGATGGCTTACCTAGGACTGAGAGGAAGTGACTGTCCCAAAGTGACTTAGCTGGGTTTCATGTCAGGCATGACTAAAACTTAAAATAATATTCTGGTTTCTAGTCTTTGCCTTTAACTATTACACAAAGTTGGCTTTTGCAGACTAAAACTCATAAAATATTGGCAAGTTACTTTATAGTGACCTCAGGAAAATTCAAGGTTATATGAAAGTCATTAGGTATCAAATGTAACATAAGGAACATTAGTTTTTGTATTTACTCATAAAAGTAAGATGGCACTCTTATAAGGTGAATGTCTCTGTATCCAGCCTCTCATTTTTAGTTGGCTCATTCACAACTATATGTGACCTTGGTGATAAAAAATAAAAGCTTATTTTGCATGTGCAATAGGATTCTTATTTCTGCCTGATTTCATTAGCTGCTTGTATTTTCAGGAATCAAGCAAGAACAAATGGGGTTATTTATTTATATACTTAACCATATTTATAGAACTCCCAGGATGTTCCAATAATAAATTAAAAATATAGAAATCAATTATCAATTAATCTTAAACTTAGCAAGATAATATAAATAGCAATAAAATAGCAACCCACCTATAGGAGCTGATGAAAACAATAACTATCATCTATCAAAGCATGATTAAATCTGATCTTCAAATACCAGCAGGGAAGGGGCAAGGCGTCACTTCTAAATTAGGATATTCCAAAGCATGGATGTTATTATGGTCTTTGGAATCCAAATGGCACTTTTAATTGGACTTGGAAATCTAGCAGTAATCAACAAGGCAACTGGAGATAAGTTTTATATTATAGCGGCAGTGATCAACATGAGCTAGCTTTTGGGCTGCTACATGTTATCTTACTGCCGTTTCTTGGCCATTTTCAATGCATATACTGCATTTTTGGGGGAAGGGGAGGGGGAGGGGAGGTGCCTTCAAGTTAGCACTGATTCCTGATAACTGCCTCTATAAATCCATGCAGTTTTCTTGACATGATTTCAGAAGTGACTTGCCATTGCCTGCCTCCTAGGTCTGAAAGTAAGTAACTGGTCCAAAATCATCCAGCTGATTTTGTGCTTAAGAAAGAACTAATACTGACAGTCTCCTGGTTTCTAGCTGGATGCCTTAACCACTACACCAAATTGGCTCTTCATAGAGTATGTGGCAGGAATTCTATTGTGTGGCTATGAGGATGGGAGTTAACATTTGCCAGACTAGGATCCAGGTGGGACCACAACTGGCAGAACATCCTGGGGGAGGGGGGGAGGTTCCTGGCTTGACTGCTACTTAACCAAAAGTTCAGAGTCCAGGGGATCTCCAAATACAGAAGGTGCTCCTTCAAGGAAAGAGCAACCCCATTCAGAGTCAGCAACAGAGCTAAGATCTTTCTGGACAACAGTAATTCCATCTTGCTGGGATTAAGTCTGAACATCTTTCTATCCATTCAGCCCTCCACAGCCTTTTAATCCTGGATTAGGACTTCCATAACTTGGCGTGTGAAGAGCATGTAAAGCTGAATATTATGTAAAATATCAAGTTCTTTAATTTGATTTATTACCAATCCAATTGCATGGACTCCAGTGCCTTTAAAGGGTTCAGGGTTGGAACCGTAAACCAGATGTACATAGAATTAAAGTGTGTGTGTGCTCAGCTTCTGGAGTTTATTTTATTGTTGCAGTATATATTAAGAATTAACATCTACGTAGCTGGAAATTTCCCCTCTCCCCATCACTTTGTAAATCACCGCGCAGAAGAAATGGTAGAGATGAATTAATGTACACCACAAAGACATCCTTCCCACCTCTCACCCCAGCCCTCTTGTTTGTTGTCGACTCATTTCCCTGCCTCTCGTTTTGCTGCTTTTTAGCCCTGCGTCCTGGGCGGTAGGTAGCGCGCCTCCTTTCCGAACCCTGGTTGCCTCCCGCTTTTCCTATCGAAGTAGTGGGAGGCAGCCCGGTGGGCCAGAGAAGGAGCTACTGCTTAGCAAAGTCTGCGAGGCGGTCCTGGGCGGGGACTTTCCATTCTACAAATCCTGCTCCACGATTCATTCCACTTCCGCCAACTGCGTTGCGGCCTCTCTTTGTGCTACTTCTAGGCGGTCCGCCTGGAATAGCGCTCCCGCCCTTCCTGGTCACTGGGGATTGCTCCCGGAGCAGGATCGACGTCCGGAGTCATCAATTACTGGAGATATGCTGTGATTGGTAACCTAAATAAGAGGCGTTTTCCAGCATTGTGGAAATCCGGAGCTCTAATCAGATTATTTTCGTCTTTCCTGGAAAGTGAACGATCCTTTCCATTTCAAAACCAAGCAAAGGAGCGAGGATCCTCTTGTCTTTTTGATCTTTGCTCCTCCTTTCTCTCACTGGACACTTGGAGTCTTTTGCCGCCACCACGCCTCACCCCTACTCAGTTCTTGAGTCATCTCTTCCTTTTTGCACCCTTTAAAGACTGAATGCTGGAGGGAATGCCGCTCCTACTGACAGCTTCCAAGTTCATCTGAGTAAACCAGGCAGAAAGAGGAACCCTCGACTGAGAAAAAAAGGAGAAATGAGCCCTTTTCAGCAGGGAATATTAATATTGCTCTTCTTATTCCTGGAGGTAAGCTGAAAAGGCCAAAAATGACCTCTGTAAATGCAAATTCTTCATCATTTGAAAATGTTCTGCACAGCAGCGTTGTGGTGGGAGTGAGCTCTGAGGTTTGCAGAGATTGGGATCAAGGTAGGCAGCCAAGTTGAGAGGAGATACCAAAACCTTTCTCAAACCTGTACCCAGGATTTGTCAACATTGCTTTCTCTTTTGTAAGAAGAGATGCTTGGTAAAGTCTGAAGTTACTCAGCTCACATATGGTTTGCCATCTCAGACCAGATTTTATATGCATGTTATTTTCCAATGAATATTTCTTTTTCTCCCTGAAAAGTAGCTATGGGAAATTTAATGACGCATAGAAAAAGCTACTTAATGTTTTGAGGCAATTTTTCTCCACTAAATTCCCGTACAGGAAATAATGCTTTGGTTGAGATTCCAGTTTCCCTTGCATGATTGATTTGCTGTTTTTTCCAAGTTGCTTCAATAGACATCTTGGACTTAATGAGTTTTAACTATGTGGCCTATCTGTAACTAAATTAAATTTCAATGTGAAATTATCCTATCCCCTCCCCCATTATTTTTCTTGTTATACATTTTGGTTTATAAAGAGAGTACAAGGGTAACTAGGTGTTGAAGAGGCGTATCACATAAGCTTTTTGAGTCTCGAATTGCTGTGCTGATTATAAAAGAATCGCTCTTTATTTAAAGTAATTTTTTGCACAGAAGGTCACAACCACATTGGTATGTTTTAAACTTCCTAAAGAGGCTGAGTCCCAAATGGGCCAAAGACCTCCAGATGTGTATATATAATCCATATGTCTGAGGAGCCTGCTGCTAGAAGTGCACATTTGGCTGGGAGGTGTCTTCCCCCCCACCCCATAGGAATAGCTGTGCCGTTGTGTTTATTAAGGGTGAGATTAATTTAGCTGTTCTCATGCCTACCCTCCTGTGACTTGCAACATATGCTCAGGGTTGCTGTACTTGTTTTGGTATGTATTTTCTTAGTACTATTATACATTTCTCCCAAAAGCTGAATTATATAAATTAAATTCAGCAGATTATCTTCGGAGATTTCTATGTTCTGAAAAGCTTTGTTTGCAATTTCAGAAAAGTAAGGATAGGTGGTAAGTATGCAAAAAAGCTTATGCTCAGGGCCATAAACTAAGATAATTAACCTGACATGTCCTAAGGCTGGATGAAACTGAACAACCAGGACTATTCATAGGTCAGGTCATAGCTAGTACTTTTAGGAGCAAATGAAATGCGTTTTGGACTTAGAGACTGCTATGACATTGTTCTTCCAGAAATTAGTGGAAGAATGTTCAGCTAGTTTTTCTTAACCACTTTTTGTTAGTATTCTAGTGGTCCTGTGTTTTTATACTCCTCAGTAGTCTGTCAATGTCATTCCATGGATGAAAGGCATGATTTCACTGACTACTTTTGCAGGCAAGTTGTTCTGTCCTTGATTAGTTTCCACCCATTGCTTCTTGTTCTATCCTCAGGTGCTTTGGAGAATAGTTTGACTCCCTCTTCTTTGTGGCAACCCCTGAGATATTGGAACACTGCTATCATGTCTCCCCTAGTCCTTCTTTTCATTAAACTAGACATACCCAGTTCCTGCAACCGTTCTTCTTATGTTTTAGCCTCCAGTCCCCTAATCATCTTTGTTGCTCTTCCCTGCATTCTTTCTAGAGTCTCAACATCTTTTTTACATCATGGTGACCAAAACTGAATGCAGTATTCCAAGTGTGGCCTTACCAAGGCATTATAAAGTGGTATTAACACTTCATGTGATCTTGATTCTATCCCTCTGTTTATGCAGCCCAGAACTGTGTTGGCTTTTTTAGCAGCTGCTGCACACTGCTGGCTCATAACTAAATGGTTGTCCACTAGGACTCCAAGATCCCTCTCACAGTTACTAATATTGAGCAAGGTACTACATATACGGTACCCTGTGCATTTTGTTTTTCTTTCCTAAATGTAGAACCTTATTTTTTTCACTGTTGAATTTCATTTTGTTAGATAGCGCCTAACGTTCAAATCTATCAAGATCCTTCTGTATTTTGAGCCTATCTTCTGAAGTGTTGGCTATTCTTGCCAGCTTGGTGTCATCTGCAAATTTGATGAGTTCCCCATCTATCCCCTTGTCCAAATCATTGATGAAGATGTTGAAGAGTACTGGGCCTAAAACAGAGGCTTGGGGTACTCCACTGCATACTTCCCTCCATGTAGATGCAGTTCCATTGAGGACTATACGTTGAATGCAGCCAGTTACAAATCCATCTAGTGGTGATGCTGTCTAACCCACATTTTTCTACTTCATCTAGTAGTAGGTTATGGTCTACTTTATCAAATGCTTCACTGAAGTCCAAGTAAATTATATCGACAGTATTCCTCTGGTCCACTAATTTTGTCACTTTGTCAAAGATTGCAATAAGATTAGTCTGGCATGATCTGTTTTTGACAAACCCATGTTTGTTGCTTGATTCGTTGCTTGATTATCTTTTCCAGAATCTTCCCTGGTATTGAAGTCAGGCTGATAGATCTGTAATTTCCTGGATTTATTTTTTCCCCCTTTTTTGAAGATGGGAACTACATCAGCTCTTTTCCAGTCCTCTGGCAGTTTCCCTGTGCTCCAGGATCTTTGAAAGTTATAGTTCAGTGGTTCTGAGATCTCGTCTGCCAGTTCCTTCAGAACCTTGGGGTGTAATCCATCCGGTCCTGGTGATTTGAACTCGTCTAGGGTAGACAGGTGTTCACTTATCATTTTCTTCCCTATTTTAACTTGTGTTCCTAATCTGTTTTTTTTGTGGTGCTGTTTTTGATAGATTAAGGAGTTACTTTTTTAAAGCCAGAGATTCTCACTTCCAGACAAATTCTAGTGCTTTTTTAGAATGGATATTTGGACTTCTCATGTTTATTGTTGACTAAGTTGTTCCCCAAGTATATTCTGTTTATTAGCAAAATGTTGACCAGAGTAGGGAGGCAGGAATATGAAGAAGATGGATATATATGCTACTCAGATTCAAAGATAGAAAGCAGGCTTTGTGGCTTCATATAATGATAATCTTACACTGGTATGAGACCAACTAAAGGGGACATATTATCATGGATCCCTTCCCGAACGACCCTAATCATTCAGCCTTTTTCTTTACCTATATAGCCAAACTCATTATCCAGTTTCTTAGTTAATGTAAGAGTCTATGCCCAAGAGTATAGTCATCCTTTCCACAAGATTTGCACACATCTACTAGCTTCATTAATTTTCACATGCAATGTAATGCTGAATTTATACCACTCTATATATGTTTTGGTTATAATAGAACCAAATATAGAACCAATATATGTTGTGAATCTTCTGATTAGAATATACAATAGCCACAGTTTATAATGTAAAACTGGAGAATCTCTTCAGTAAAAGTATGTTATTTTCTGTTAAAACAACAAACATATTTAATAATAGGTAAGTCAAATTTATATTATTGTTTATATTATTCATGCCACATATTGTATTGTATGCCAGCATTTTCTGATTGGCAGCAAATTCCTGTGACAAAATTCTTTCCTAGACCCATCCAAATATGCCAAAAGATCAGTCAAATCTTCCTTGAAAGATATATGTGAAGTATGTGCTTCCTGGGTTCCAGCTTTGATTGGAAAAATGTCAGGAATGAAGAATCAGAACCAGAACCAAGTTTCAGTTAAGAAGATTTATTACTCAAGCCTATACACAAGAATCTAGTCAACTAATGGTCAGCACTAGATTGACACTAAATAAGAGTCAACAGAATTCAAGGATGGCTGGACTTGGAGAAACATTTGTGGACATGTATCAATTCTAGGCAGAATTCTCTCTTGATTCAACCCAGGTTCTGCCTCATCTCCTACAGATAGCACTTACAGAAATAGCTGCAATATCTTCTGAGTATTTCATTGCTTTGGTTGTTTTCATGTGAATGAAGCATAAAAATGTTTTCCAGATTTTAATACTGAGTGAGCCTCAGCTTTCATCTCTAGATTTTCGTGATCTTTCAGCTTTGGTATTTGATAAATTAAAAGCAACATATATATGCTGAATCACTGCCTTTATAAGTCTGGGAGATGAGGGGTTTTCTTTGGTTGAAATTAGACTCATGGCCAATTGGGAAAATGGGCATACAACAAATAAGCTTGTGGGATACTGTTTTGATCCATATCTCTTCAAGAATTAGCAATATTATGCTAAGCTTCAAAAAAGCATTTTATTATGCTATAAACCTTGAATTTCATATTAAAATATTTGGTACTTTAATGATTAATAATGATGATGCAAGATGTTCTTGAGGTATATTAGTATTGCATTATAACTTTTGTCAAGTCAAAAGAAAAGAGTCTAGAATAAATGATAGCAGGAATACTTCAGCTCTTTCATTATTATTCAAGCTTTCCCATCTCACTGGCTTTCTTGGCATCCTGATGTTATAGAATTGGCCACTCTGAGGATTTTTTTTTATATGAATGTACAGATCCTGAAGGTCTCATTCAGTTCAAAATATAGGATCCAGTGCTGATGTCAATGCTTTTCCATCCTCACACTTTATAAAAAATTATTGTGCTGACTTGAATTAAGATTTCACTTTATTCTGTTCAGTGCCATTGTAACTTTTTTTAAAAAAATATTTTTATTATACATTTTCCTTTATTATACATACCGTTTCCATTTCTGCAACAACAGTATACTATCTGTATCAAATCTCTTTTAAATACACATAGTTTTATACATACCATAATTATAATCATTATAATTGGTTATATAATATGTACAATATAATCTTCCCTTCTAATCACCCTATACAATTTAATCTATAATCAAGTATAATCCAGTGATAATATTGGAAGGTCTTTTGAAACACTGGCTAAAATCTTAACCAACACTTTAGAAATTTTCTTTTTGGCAACGTTTCGACAAGCTCTCTAACTTGTCATCATCGGACCCCTACTTTCAGTTTAGAAGCTGTGGGTATGCTGTGAGA